AATTTCCTCCCCCCTCCCGACAACTCACGGCGTGGAATATCGTGTTACTGTGCGAGCAAACGAGGTTAGACAAAGGCGCAGATGTGAAGCCAGTTCGGTCTCATTACGGAGGGTAGCTGCATCGTATTTACCACACACGCACTGCACGTACACACACATGCACGCACGCACGCACGCACGACACGCATGCATGCATGCAACGGGGCACTGCACATACACCATACATGCTCACACGCACGCGCACGCACTGCAGTACACACACAATGCACGCACGCACGCAGGCCACGTACACACACTGCACGCACGCACGCACGCACGCACGCACGCACATACACACAAGCACGTACGCACGCACGCACACACATGCACGCACGCACGTACCCACACACACATGCACGTACGCACACGCATGCACGCACGCACGCACGCACGCACGCACGCACGTACACACACATGCACGCACACATGCACGCACGCACGCACGCACGCACGCACGCATGCATGCACGCACATACACACAAGCACGTACGCCCGCACGCACACACATGCATGCACATACACACACACGCATACACGCACGTACGCACATACACGCACGCACGCACGTACCCACACACACACCCCTTTCCACCTTCTCTCTTTTATACCTTCCCTTTCTCTCCCCTTCTCTTCTTCAGCCGCTGCTGCTGGAATGTTGTCAATATCTCGAGTGTGTTGCAGTTAATTATAATATATATATATATATATATGTATTATAATTAACTGCAACTTTCCATATATTTAACTGTAGATATAATATATATATATGTATATATATATTATAATATATATATATGTATATATATATATATATTATATCTTATAACTTATATAGTAGTTACGCTGTGTGCGTGATCGGGGAAGCGTACATTGGAATTCGAGCAGCGACGTAAACGCAATCATATGACGTCACGACAAGTGGCGCCAGGCCCCTCACATAATATCGGCTGTCTACCCGCGGACACGCGAGATCTGGCGAGAGCTTCAATCGCGCATCACAGACTCCATCGACCTCCCAATTAAATTGCTTAATTAGGTTAATTGTTCTGGGCAATTTTTTGCCAATACTAGAAACTGATAGGCATAATATCGGTGTTTCTACACGCGCTCGCGTGTTTAACAACCGATATTTTACGACAGCAGTA